ACAGCTTGGAGGAAAGTTGTGCAAATGAGAGGAGTCACAAACTAGTTCAGGATTTTGGTCTCAGCCACTAGAAAACCAGTGTTGCCATTCACTGATTTGGAGAAGCCCATGAAAGGGAAGTTTGGGGGTTGGGAATCAGGAGTTTAATTTGGACATATTAAATTTGAGATGATGCCAATTATATCCAAGCGAAGTTGAATAGGCTGTGTGTGTGTGTGTGTGTGTGTGTGTGTGTGTGTGTGTGTGTATACAGGTGTCATCAGCATTTGGGAGCATTTGAAACTGGATGAGGTCACCAAGAGAAGGAATGTTAAATAGACAAGCTGTCAGAGAAATGATTTGGGCTCTAAATCATATAGAAGTCAGGAGAACCAGAGAATGAGCAGTCAATGAGATAAGAGAATCAAGAGGGAGAGGCATTCCAAAAGCTAAACTGTTAAAAAACAAAACAAAAAGTTTTAGGAGGGAGTAACTGTCAGAGGTTTCAGATAGGGCAATAAGACAAGACTTGAGAATTAATCATGGAGGTCATTGCATTCCTTAACAAAAACAATTTCTATGGAGTAATGGAGATGAAAGCCTAAATTGGATTTATTCAAGAGAACAAAGGAGGAGAGAAATTGGACACCATGTGTACAGACAGTTCTTTCAAGATTGGTAAAATAAAGGAGGACAAAGGGGCCAGAGCTACAGGGAGATGCAGGGTCAAGATTTTTTTCTCTAAACCTGGAATATAAATATAAATATGTATGTTTACATTACTGCTGGTGGTAATTCAGTAGTGAGTGAAAAATTCAGAAGAGGGAGAATTGCTGGATCAATGAATGTCCTTAGGTAGGCAAGAGATGAGATGCAATGTGCAGTAGAGAGGTTCATCCTGAGAGGAATGCAGACAGACACTTTCTTCATAGGAGTGCAAGGAAAGCAGAATGGGCACAGATGCAGGGAGGTGGGTAGCTATGGTATCTGGACATAGGGAGGTTCTCTTCTCATTGCTTCTGTTTTCTCAATGAAATAAGCAGCTCAGTCATTAGCTGGTAGTGAGAAACCAGAGGAAGTGGAAATTTGAGGTTAGAGAGGAAGGTTTAAAATAGTTCTCTAGGGAAATAGAAAGCAGATGGATTAGGGCAATGTGGATGGATTGCCAGACAGCATTGAGTCCCTTTGAGATTAGTGACCATAAATTTAAGGCAAAAATAGTCAGTGGGATTGTGTGCTTTTGTCCAGCTGTGCTCAGCCACCCTGGTGGAGATGCAGAGTGGGTAAAGAATTGAATTTAACCAGGATAGACGTTTGGCCACGTGAAGGCCCTGAAGGGAGAGGCAAGAAAGCTGATTGTGAATTCTAGGCTGTGAGTATAATGGTGGCTTATGGGGTTTAATCTGAGTAAAGCAAATGAAGACATGCTGGGATTTTAGTTTTTGATGCATCTTAGGGATCAACGAACTCAGGGTTTTGGAGGATATTGGAAAGCTAAGAGGTGGTCAGTTAGGGAGTAGAGAAGCCTGAAACTGTGATTCTGGAGTGGGTGCAGGTACTGATGATAGGGTCTAGAGCTAGTGATTCTCAGCCCGGGGGGTTTCGCCTCTGAGGAGGCATTTGCAATGTCTGGAGACGTTTTTGGTTGTCATAACTGGAGGCAGAGGAGATACTGCTGTCATCTGGTAGAGGCCAGGGGTGCTGCTCAACATCCTACAAGGCATGTCAGTAGTGCTGAGGTTGAGAAGCCCTGGTTTAGGGTATGATAAAATAAAAACTTCAGCTGAATTTAAATTTAAAGGAGTTTAATTGAACAATGAATGAATTGCGAATTGGGCAGCCTTCTGAGCCAAGGTAGTCTCAGAGATGCCAGCACAGCCATGTGGTGGAAGAAGATTTATGTACAGAAAAATGAAAGTGATGTACAGAAAACGGGAGTGAGGTACAGAAACAGCTGCATTGATTATAGCTTGACATTTGCCTTATTTGAACACAATTTGAACAGTTGGCTACATTTGATTGGCCAAAACTTGGTGATTGGCACAAGATGATTGGCTACGGCCTGTTTACACCTATACTTGTTATAGTTCACAGTGTACAGAAAAACCCTTATGCTGAACTTAAAATATATAAGGAGGCAGCTTTAGGCTAAATTTGATTGAACAAGTATGACCATAGAAATGAGTGGCTGGGATAGGCCTGATCTTACCCAGATTGTTGGAGAAGAGAAACAGACTAAGGTTTTAGGAGGTTTATCTTACGACTGATGAAATCTCCAAAAATGATGACAAGAGTAGTATTAGAGAAAAGCGTAGATAGCCAGGGATGGAAGAAGCTAATTTCTCAGTATGTGGAGTCATTTTCTTTTTCTTGAGCTAGCTGATAGGCTAGCTTTGGATTTCATAATCCTGGCTAAGAGCTACACGTTCAAATTAGCCAAAGAGTGTTGTGTGTTTTTTAAAAAGTCACCTGTTTATTAACTAACTTTGGTGTAACGAAATCTTTGTCTTAAAATAGATGCCTAAAAGCTGTTTGGGAATTTGGTTAGTCTTTTTGCTCAAAATTCTGTGACTGTAAACGTGGACGCGTGGTCTAATTCCATCTTCAAATAATGTTTCAGGATGACAAGTCTTGCAACCAGGCCTTGAGGAAGGGATCTGGTTTAAGAAAATCCTTGAGAAGGCCAGGTGCAGGGGCTCACGCCTATAATCCCAGCACTTTGCGAGGCCGAGGCTGGTGAATCACCTGAGGTCAGGAGTTCGAGGCCAGCCTGGCCAACATGGTGAAACCCCTTCTCTACTAAAAATACAAAAATCAGCCAGGCATGGTGGCAGGCATCTGTAATCCCAGCTACTCAGGAGACTGAGACAGGAGAATTGCTTGAACCCAGGAGGCGGAGGTTGTACCACTGCACGCCAGCCTGGGTCACAAGATTGAGACTTGGGAAAAGAAAAAAAAAGAAAGAAAGAAAGAGAAAATCCTTAAGAAACCTTATTTATAGACTTTAGAGACTGTGGCTTTCCAGTACTCATCACCATGGAGAAAACTAGTCAAAATCACACAGAGTGAATAAGGGTTGCAAGCCAGTGCTGCTTCCTGGAATAAGCTGGTCCACTAGTCTAGTCTTGTGCTTTGTCCTTCATTTTGAACCCAAGTGCCCTGGGGCTACTTTTCTGCCTACCCACAATAGCAAGGAACTCTTTTGTTTGCATCTCCTCTGAAAGAAATGCTTGTTTTGAGGTTTGGACCACAAATAATAATCTGTTGTTCCCTGTAATAATAATCCACCCTCTTTAGCAGAAAAAAAAATCTGCTTGATGCAGTATGGCTATCAGTTTATTTAAAAGAATAGCCAAAAGTGCCCATTGTGTCCTGAGAATAAACATTTGCAAGATGGTTGGGAGGAATGGGGGAGTACTCTTGTTCTCCTTGGCTGAGAGTCAGTTAAGTCTTCAAGGAGAAAAAATTCTGAAAATGACCATCAGTCCTGGCTGACAATACTCTTCCTTATTCTGCCCATCTGTTACATTCTAAGAATAATTGCAACACTGCAGATATTTATTCCAAACTATTTCTTTAAAAAATATCGAAGATGGATATTTTTAAGTTACCAATTTTAGGCCAAATAAGTTTTTTCTTTTTCTGACTTTCATTTTGTCTGTGAAAGCATTGCTTTTATAGCAGCATGTTCAAGTTAGCAATCTTTAACAATTTGGCAAATACTTTTAGCAACAATCCTTAACAATTCCTGCAGTTGCCTGTGATTGCAGATCTTGAAAAAAGAGCCATTTTTATATTCCAAGTGGTAGACACATTTTAATTACTATTTCCTGGGCTTAGGCTAACTGACAAAACTTGATGGGTAAAATGAAAATATGATATACAGTGTAATCAGCTGTTTACTTACCTAGCACAGTGAAATCTTATGGTAGGTATGGTTTCACTAACAAAACCAAAATAAGCATTTTTCTTCCTTAAGTTCTTTATAAGAAAAGGATCAGTTAAATAATAACTGTGGCTTTAAAATCAAGTTATATCTTAGGATAGTTTTAATTGCATTATACATGGGTGATGAGAAGAGTTCAGTGTGATAATTGCGTAACAGATGCGCATCAGAACTACTTAAAGAAGTAAAAATACGCCCATCACGTCATTAAAAATAGACCATCAGGGAAGCCACCAAGAAGTCCTTCAGAAGGTAAATGAATAAACTGTGGTACGTCCATACAATTTGTATATTATTCAGCAATAAAAAGAAATGAGATATTATGCCACACAAAGACATGGAAGAAAGTTAAATGCATATTACTAACTGAAAGAAGCCAACCTTAAAAGACTACATGCTGCATGATTTTAACTAGATAACATTCTAGAAAAGGCAAACCTATAGAGACAGTATAAGGTCAGTGTTTGCCAGGGATGTGCGGGAAAGGAGGGCAGGAATAAATAGGTGTAGCACAGGAGACACTTAGGGAGTGAAACTATTCTATATGATACTGTAATGGTGGAGATGTCACTACACACCTTTGTCAAAATCCATAGGATCTACAACACTAACTCAAATCCTAATGTAAACTATGGACTTTGGTTAACGATGATATAACCATATTGGCTCATCAATTAAAACAAATGTATAGCACTAATGCCAGATGTTAATAATAGGAGAAACAGGATGGCCATGGGGGAGTGAGGGAATGTGAGAATTCTACCTTCCATTCGATGTTTCTGTAAACCTAAAACTGCTCTTTTAAAAAGTCTATTAGTTAAATATTCAATATAGCCAAACTAATAAGCATATCTTAACTAAAAAGCAATACAAACCTAAACTATCAGCAATTATTCTGTTTATGGTACTATTCTGATTGAACTTAGCTATAGAATATTCTGCCAGAAATATGTAATGGCAATGAATTACTGTATATATCTAGTAACTTTGCTGTATCTTTTCTTGTCTGGCAAAAATGTGCAGTGGTATTCATGCTAAGTCCTACTTTTAACTACCCTTATTCCTCTCTCTTCAGTGACAGCTGGAGTATCAGCCTTGGAAGTATATACACCAAAAGAAATCTTCGTGGCAAATGGTACACAAGGGAAGCTGACCTGCAAGTTCAAGTCTACTGATGAGACTGGCGGGTTGACCTCAGTCACGTGGAGCTTCCAGCCAGAGGGGGCTGACACTACCGTGTCGGTAAGAATGCTTGACTGCTCTTGGCTACTCCTACCTCACAGGTTTCTTTACTGCTGTATAATTAGTGATCCATTTTTCTGATGGTTCATTTCTAAAATGAGTGCATTTATTATCTATTATAGACTTCAAGGCCCTTCTCTTGCTTCAGGATAAAATAAGTTCAGCATGTCTTAAATGCAGCTGGTTTCCTTGTCTTTGCTCAGTTCCTCTCCACCATCAAATCCCATTCTGAAATTGATCTTAATTGACTCTAATCAGGATTTATCCTGCATCTTTTCATCTTTCATTGCCCCATTTTTATTGATATTTATTTTACATATTACCAGATTTTATATATATGTGTGTATATGTACCTTCTGATTTGATTATTTTTTTAAATTTAGCGTATAGTCCATCTGATTTAGCAATATTGATTGGGAGCTTACTATGTAGTGGGTTACGTAGGGCCTTCAAAAATGTCTAAAACAATCCTTGCTGTCACCCAGAGATGATTAGAAGAAAGGCTGATATATACTTGACTTTGGAGTAAGATGAAGGATGTAACAGAAATACAGCACCAGAGGGTTGAAAAAAAGGTTAGTTAGTAACTAGTGGAGTGTTGGTTATGCAGTGGGTGTTTATTAAACATTAACTGACTATCCTGGTTCTGGTCTGTAGAATGGAGATAATAAAACCTCCCACACAAGGGTGTTAGGAGGATAAAGTAAGATTATACAAGACAAGTGCTCAGGAAAGTGTCTAGCTCTTGAGTTACTAATATACACAATTTGTTGTTACTGTTGCTCTCCCAGAATGTTGAATGCCCTTCAAATATTGGCACATATTTTAGTACTGTTGCACTTTTCAGGTTGTTAGTACTTAGCAAGGACAGTCTGTCGTCTATCTTTAAGAATACCCAGCTAGGCGCGGTGGCTCACGCCTGTAATCCCAGCACTTTGGGCGGCCGAGACGGGCAGATCACGAGGTCAGGAGATCAAGACCATCTTGGCTAACACGGTGAAACCCCATCTCTACTAAAAAAGAAAAAAAAATTAGCCGGGCGCGGTGGCAGGTGCCTGTAGTCCCAGCTACTCGGGAGGCTGAGGCGGGAGAATGGCATGAACCCGGGAGGCGGAGCTTGCAGTGAGTAGAGATCGCGCCACTGCACTCCAGCCTGGGTGACAGAGCGAGACTCCGTCTCAAAAAAAAAAAAAAGAATACCCAATTCTTCTGAATGGTGAGTTACATTTGTTGATCACCACCTAGATGTTGGGCCCGTCATATGCCTATGCCATTTACTCTTCACAGCTCTATGTGGAAGACAGGGTGGGGAGGATGGGAGACACTGACTCAAGATTATTCACCAGTGGCCACACCACACAGGTTAGAATTGTTGAAAGTTCAATACGGTATGATTTCCCTTATATATTATTTCTCTCTCAGGTAGAAAACTCTGCTAATAATATTTACTGCCTCATAGGTTTTAGGGATTACCTAAGGCAGTGCTTCTCAGTATTTTTTAAAATTTATTTTTAAAAGGAGCCTTTTGACATTTTTTCTTAATCTCTGCCCCTTTCCATGAAATTTTAATATGGTAGATATCCTCTGTATCTCTTTTACATATAAAAGAGTAAGATTTTCTCAAAGCTTCCCACCCAAGAGCAAGTGTTTGCTCCCTTGGAGGAGAATCTGCCCTATGGAGAATACATAGTCTAGAGGTCTTTATAAGAGAGGCCTTCCCTTACAGTAACCATAATGGTGAGCACAGAAATCCATACAGCATGGGAAGACATACAAAGGTATTCTCTGCTTCACATAAATATAGCATCAGCATAGAACATACACTAATGTTCCCATAGAGGCAAGAGTAAACACATAAGTTTACTCAAGAGAATCCAAAGAACTATTTAAACATTTAAAGATTTCCCACTGAAGTCTTCTGCAAGAGTTGGTGTGAGGGCCATTATTTAAGTCCATAGAAAATGAAGCAGTCATCAGGAAGACACCAGAGGTAATAACTTTCTTTTAAAGAGCAGTTCTATTTATGCTGGAAACAGTCTGGTCATGTGGGTCCATGAAGGTTTACATAACTCAGACTTACTATTCAGAACATGCTGTAATTCTGATTAATATTTTTAGCTAATCAATTTATACTTACACACGAGTCTGATTGCAGTTAATCCCAGCATGTTCAGTTATTGACATAGGATCCTTTAATTCCAAAATGTCAGGACACATTTAATAAGATGAGTGGGTTGCTTTTTTGTTTTTGTAGGTTTTATAGGAAAAGTATATTCAAACCCAGTATGTTCAAAAGCCATACTGTAGATGGCTTTTTTGGCCCATGACCTCGGAATCCACATACCTGAAACTGAACTCATTTTTTCTCCCTTCTGTTTCCCTTCTTTGCTTTTTTTTTTGGAGGTGGGGGGGTGTAATTGTGTTCATCTAGAGATGAGTTTTGTGATCAATTTTTGTTTTGTTTTGTGTTTTCTGTCCTTTCCTTCCCTGTCCCTTACCACTTCCCTTCTGTCCCCAAGAAATAAGAACCTTTGCTGGTTCTTCCTACTTTGTTTCTAGCATCTAGCTTTTTGTCAGCCTTCCTGTGTCTCTGCTGTCTATTGAGCAATGTTAACTGTGTGCCTGGTCTTGTGCAGTAACCCCTTGTTATTCTTCTGCTTCTGTGTTTTCATCTTTCAATCCAACCCTCATATGCCAGCAGATGCGTAGTCTTATAACAGTTCTTTCACCTTTCCACTGCAAGTTGTCAGAAACTTAGATACCCATTGCTGACAACATTTGTCTAGAATTAAAAGCTCATTACAGTTTGGCCCAGCCTACCACTTTAGCCACGCTTCTGTTCTCTTACGGCATCACTTCCAGTTTAGTAAAAATGCTTTGTGCTTTATTTTCCTACTTCTGAACACTTGTCATTTAAGCTGTACCCCATTTTTACCTTTTGTCTCCTCCATAATGCCTCTTTTTTTAAAAAAAACCTTTTAGCCCTTAAAACTCACTACCCTTATCTGGGCCATTCCTGTAATACAGATCCCTTAATATGACAATTTTCCTCTTCTTCATCCTGAATATGGGTGTTTTAAGAGGACATGCCTATCTTACATCTTTAGTATACCTCATAGCTTTAGCACCATGGCTTGTACTTTAAAAATATTGATTGATAATGATTCTAGTCTTTTCTGTGAATTTTTCACTGTTTTATTTCCATCTCTCAAAGGTTTGACCAAGGCATTATTCCTCAGTTTGGTTCAGCAAACTATGTAGTTCCGGCTGTGTGCAAAGTGCTAAGGAGTACAGAGATAAATACAGCTTATCCCCTGCCTTCAAATGGCCCCCAGTCAATGAGGGAGCCTGCCTGAGGGAGCTGTCTTAGACCCAGTGCTGGGAAACAGCATCATGTAGCTCATCCCCGCTGGTTCACAAATGTAAGGCAGGGAATATGTGGAGATGTTGTGGGAAGGGAAGGCAGAGAGCTGATGATGGAAGGATTCATTTGCAAAGCTGAGAGTTTATGGTTCATTTTTCTGGTGAAGAAGAGAGAGTGAAGGACTTTGAACAGATAAGACATGATCTCACCCAAGAGGCGTTAAACATTGAAAATAGCATAAGCTTTGAAATCAAAGCTGAGTTTGAACTCCATCTCTAAAACTTGTAACTTTGGGAAAGTAACCAAGGTTTCCTGAGCCTCACATTCCCTGTTGATGAAATATCAGGTAGGTGAGTCTCACCTTGCAGGGTGGTTGTGAGGGTTGGAGAGTTGTTGGGAGACAGTTTTCCGTGGGTCTTTCACGTTTTTGCACACCTTGCTAGCAAAGGCACTGGCTGCCTTTGTTCTGGACTTTGTTTGTGCAGTAACTAGCCTTGGAAAGCAGAGATGATATTTCCCTCTGGAGCAGAGGACAGGTTTGTTTATTCTTGAGTATAGTGAAGGTAGTGTCTCCATTCAGGGCTAAAGTCAGACATGTCTTCTGCCCCTTGTAAGAGATTTGTGTTCCCTGAGCTTGGGGTTACTCCGCTGTGATATAATGCCCCTGCCTGCACAACATCCATGTGAGCCCCTCCATGTCATGGCTGTGGGACTTGGGGGGCAAGGGGAACAAACACATGCTTTCTGCTCATAAGGTTCTTTGTTTCTGAGTCTTCTTCATGGGAGTGAAGATTTCACAGGAGTCTGTGTCTTCTGTCAGCTATGTATGAACATGTGGCCAACTAACTTTGTTAGCTTGTAAGTAGGGTAAAATCCCAGACCCTTCAGCGTTCTTAACAGGCATTTAGATTATATGAAATGCAGGGTAAATATTTGATAAATGTTATAATAATAACCATTATTCTTTATCAGTGATCATTTAGGCATTGTGGAAGATGATGAGTTAGACATACCAGTTAAGAGGCCCAAGATAATGAAAGCATAAAAACAGACATTGTCATTGGGAACTGAATAGAGAGAAGGGAGAACTGAGAGAAACTAATGAGACAAATTGACAATACTGGGGGATTAACTGGATGGGAAGAAAGAGAATCAAGGATTACTTCAAGATTTATGGTTTGGGAAAGAAACGGTAGCCATCAGTGAAGATGGGATACATGAAGTTTGTAAGAGAAGGTGACAAGCTTGGGGGAGAGGGGCAGTCAGGTGGTAAAGTGAGCAGGCAGTTGGGCGAGGAGTCTAGAGCTTACGGGACGCTATTGATGAGAGGTCTGGGAGTTAAGAAAATCCAGATGATCATTAAATCATGGGAATGGATGAGTCTGCACTGGTGTTTTCAGCATGCTCAAACAGTTCTGAAAATGTTCTGTTTGCATTGCTAATAGAGCTGGTTTCTATCCCCAGCTCCACCATCACCCGGGCCATGAACCAGACATCAGGCCTCCAGCATAGCTGCTTGGATTAGAGCCAAGTGTGAGGATAGATCCCCTCCCACTGGGCCTTAACCCTGCTTCCAGGTGCTGAATTTGACAAGGTTTACTTTGAGAAGACAGTTCCTTTGCTGAAAGCAGGACTGAGGAGAGAGTGAGGAGTGGAAAGAGAAAGGGGTCAAAGGCTGAACTTTCAAAAGAGTATCTTGTGTTATCTGGACTTTGTTCCTTTCACACACCCATGACTTCTCCATAGGAAACCAGAAGGAAGAGGGAGAAACTCAGATTAGCTGATCTGAGATATTTAGGATTCTTTTCCTCTGTGCCTTTGTGTATCTTAGTGGTAAGCTAAGTGAACACTAAGCTTTCTGAAGCCTTAGGGATCACTGGGCTCAATTATGGTGTTATTGGAAGAACATTGACTTTGAAGACTCAGATGGGTCTAAATTTTACTCTGGGTCCCCAGTTACTATCATTGGGACCTTGGGAAAATGGCTTCTCTTAAGTCTCCATTTTGTCTTTTATAAAATTATGGGTGGTAATAATTACATCAGTGAAATACTGAGAGGATTCGAGATGACGTGTGAGTCTGATTCTTCCATTGAAACCTGGCAGAGTTGAGTCCCATGATCTCTAAACTTCTATCTGGCTTAGATTCCATAACTTGTGATTTGTAGTATGATGTTGCATTTCTTTCAGTATGAAGTCTTTAAAAGAACCTTTCATAGCATGCACATTACAGAGTTTAGGAATTCTGCCTTTGAGAATAGTTCATGTGTTCCTTTTTTCTAATTGCAGTTTTTCCACTACTCCCAAGGGCAAGTGTACCCTGGGAATTATCCACCATTTAAAGACAGAATCAGCTGGGCTGGAGACCTTGACAAGAAAGATGCATCAATCAACATAGAAAATATGCAGTTTATACACAATGGCACCTATATTTGTGATGTCAAAAACCCTCCTGACATCGTTGTCCAGCCTGGACACATTAGGCTCTATGTCGTAGAAAAAGGTACTTCCTTGAGTGTTTTCGCAGTAATTAATGCAGTCTCCTTTATCTCATGTTTGGATGGAGAACCAGAGTTGCATTTCATGGTGGGTTTGGAGGGAGGATTTTTGCCGTACAGTTGTGCTCCCCGTTGCCGTGATCCTGTGGGTCTACCAAACACACTTGGAATTGGGGAACTGTTGCTCATTCTGACCCAGAGTGGCTGATTCTCCATTTTTATTCCTACCGTCTGGAGCCTATTAGTCTAATTTCAGGAATATTAATTTTTCAGTGTTAATCAGAAGAAAGACCAGATTCATTATGTTTGGATGTGATGGACAGTGGGAAAGAAGGAGATTCATACTGTTTTATATTCTCCAGGAGAAAGTTTTCAACAACAGCACAGTTATTTCTCCCTTTTGATTTTGAGAACAAACAGGAAATGCAGGTTCTGGTGTCTCATTTTTGAGACAAAGTCTGCTTTGTCGGAGAGTAGATCCAGGTAAATTCACACCTCCAGTTTCTCGTTAGAGCACTGAGAGGGATTGTAGGTGTAGAAATGCTTAGTTCCATAGTTCATTCTTTCTCATCTAATATTCACATGTCATGAATTACATAGTAATAGGATAGACAGTGGGATCTCATAGTTTGTATAATAAAAGAGGGTACAGTAACTGCTAAATGAAAATACTTGCTTGTTAATTTAATAAAATTCCATGTTTTCTCTCTGTAGCAACATACCTTAAAACTATTTTGTTCTTGGCTGGGCGCGGTGGCTCAAGCCTGTAATCCCAGCACTTTGGGAGGCCGAGACGGGCGGATCACGAGGTCAGGAGATCGAGACCATCCTGGCTAACACAGTGAAACCCCGTCTCTACTAAAAAATACAAAAAACTAGCCGGGCGAGGTGGCGGGCGCCTGGGGAGGCTGAGGCAGGAGAATGGCGTGAACCCGGGAGGCGGAGCTTGCAGTGAGCCGAGATCCGGCCACTGCACTCCAGCCTGGGTGACAGAGCGAGACTCCGTCTCAAAAAAACAAAACAAAACAAAACAAAAACCAAACTATTTTGTTCTTTTTCTCTAGAGAATTTGCCTGTGTTTCCAGTGTGGGTAGTGGTGGGCATAGTTACTGCTGTGGTCCTAGGTCTCACTCTGCTCATCAGCATGATTCTGGCTGTCCTCTATAGAAGGAAAAACTCTAAACGGGATTACACTGGGTAAGAAACACTGTTTTCTAGGGCAGGGGTGGAGGGAGGGAATCAGGGTTTATAAAAACTTATGTATTTAATGAAAAAAGGATTTTGAAGAATTAACTACTGTCTTCTTTCATGTCAGAATCAGGCAGTCTCCTTTGGAGGTGTTCTAACATGGGCAAGCAGAAATCAGTGGGCCTGCTATGAAATGTGGAATGATTCTAATCTTTGTTCCAGTTTCCTTCTTAGGTTTGGTGAGATGAGCTGCTCAGCAGTTTGTGCTCTGTGTTTCAATATATGCACTATGCAATTAGTATTCTTAGTCTTAAGACTTAAGACTCAGTCTTAAGTCACTTACCCAATTTAAGAGTTTAATTTCAATTTCTTGGTAATAAACTCACAAGGTGGTTCTTTCCAGTTGGGAAATATAAAACCCTAATTAAGAAGAAGTTGTGAGCTGGAAGTAGTGGCATGCGCCTGTAGTCCCAGCTACTTAGGCTGAGGCTACTTAGGCTACTTAGTCCCAGCTACTTAGGCTACTTGCTTGAGCCCCAGTGTTTGAGTCTAGCCTAGGCAACAGAGCAAGACCCTGTCTCTTTAAAAAAAAAAAAAAAAAAAAAGAAGAAGAAGAAGAAGAAAAAGAAATGGTTTTAATAAACTACCTCCCCCAGTCCAATGTGATGATGGTGCAGGGATTTTCCTTTTTGTAGTTCCCCTACCCTACTCCAAGCTTAAGTATCTTTATTGCTTTGATCATTCTTAGCTAGAATCACCCACAATGGGATAATGAGTTGATAACAAAATATATCAGCAATAAAGAAAAATAGACTTTTTGTTTATGGCTTCTCAAATGGAACACGTTTAAGAATAGGGTGCGTGTCTAATTAAAGGACCTTCTCTTTTCCCCACCCCAGCTGGAAAGCTAACCCATATAAGCTATGTAGATCTCATGTGGTAAGACTGGGAGCAGAGGCTGGATTCAAGTTGATGTAGCATGAGCAGTGTTGCAGGTGCACAGATCTAACTTTAACCATCCTGAAGGGACTCTGATGGGAAAGGATTGCATGTCCTGAACTCTTGCTGGTGGATGGTGGGAACCTCTATCTATGGGCTCTGCTGATCTAGAGTTTTTAGGAGTGCCATGTTTTAACAAGTTTGAGTGTTCAAATTCAGATATTACTTGCTTGGAATGCTTCTATTCTGCTGACTGTATCTGCCCCCCTTGCATGGTGAGTGTTTTATGATTAAATATAGCTGGACGATTGATTTTCAACATGAGACTAATCCAGGGTGGTGACATGCCAGTCTTTGTAGTTCTTGCTTTGGGGTTAATGAGGGGCAGGAACAAGTTCCTTCGACTCCTGCATGGCATCGTGAATGCTGCTGTTCTTCTTACTTTGGTTTTTTTCCTCCTCCCCTACCTTTTCTACCTTGGTGTGCTGGGATCAGATCCTGCTTATCTTCCACTTCTTAAGAAAAGCTGACATAGAAGACACATTGGGACTATAACAGGGCTGGGTCTCCTCTTCCACTCCCACTAGACACATGGTAACTAATCACATTGCCCGTTGCTGTTAATATTCCTGTGTACGTATTCAGCCCCTCTCCCCTGTTAATGACTAACCAGCTAGCTCTGAGCTAACCCAACAGCTATGATGATTTGTCCACGAGTATGTCACACGTTTGTATTGGAAACATGTTGAGCAAACCATCCGGATGAAACTGGGTTGTCAAGTTACATAGAGTTTTTATGCACATCTGAATATTTGTGCTCTTCGTGTAAAATGCCATTGCGTATGTGTGTGTGTGTGCATTAGTTTTCTTTTTTCATACATGTATTGTGTTATCAATAAGTAAGATCCTGACTGATTATGTCTTAGAATAATTAAACAATTTTGGTTCAGAGCATGTAGCCTCCCATTTCAGAGAAGGAACAGTTTGCAGAATGCATGGTATGCTTTGATCTTAGTAATGACGCTTTAAATGTGATTCTCCCCAAACTCCTAAGTTTTAAAAAGTATACATCATAAGGCTTCAAGCTGTACTTATGACACATCGCATTGGAAAATCCCTACGCTGTACCCCAGCTGGCTTACTTCCTGGCATTCACTTTCCCTGATTCATTTATGAGACAGTGCTTATTGTTAAAGACTCCTGTCCCTGTGAAAAGGTTCAGCCTGTGTGACGTGGCATTCCCTAGTTTCTCATTCATGACTTCCTGGGTTTTTGGGGGGATTTGATTGCGGTATTGGTAGGGAATAAAACTATGGAGAGAACAAGATAAGCCAAGACTTGCCTGGATATATATCTGTAATTTAAAACATACATTCAGAAGGGGTTTGCCTTTGATTGTAACAAAAGTGAATTGCCATTAAACTATTAAAAGGTACCATAGAGCTTGTTCCCTTAAACCTTTATCCCAAAGGAGGGTTGATGGCAGCGGGAAAAGACAAACAGCAAAAGGAAAAATGTGTACTGTAACCAGAATCTCAATATGATTTTTGTAAACTGGGTTGAAGAGGTTGTACCACATTTGTTTCTGTGCCTCCCCCAGTGATGAGTTCATTGACTTAGAAGAATGAGTGAGTGTCAGGAATAGAAAATAGTTTTAAAATATGTGATCATTTTGATACCCATTGTTACGTTGTCTTTTGTTTTTATGTATCTGTTGCTTCATCTTGCCGTCACTTGCATTTCTATATTTTTGTTTCTATTTATTATTATTTTTTACACTTGTTCTTCAAATTGCCAATTCTTCAGCTGCAGTACATCAGAGAGTTTGTCACCAGTTAAGCAGGCTCCTCGGAAGTCCCCCTCCGACACTGAGGGTCTTGTAAAGAGTCTGCCTTCTGGATCTCACCAGGTAATGGGTGATTGCGATTCTGCTCACTGCACTGTTCCCTACAGCTTGGTGCTCTGTCACTTCCCTGGGTGTGGAAAAGAATACTGAGCTATGAGAGACACAGACAGACAGACAGACAGAGACAGAAAGATAAAGGGTGGGAGTGAGGAATTAAAGGGCTGGCTTAGGAATACCACAGGAAAGTATGTGGTGAAAAATCTGCTTGAGCAAAGATTTCCATGAAACCACCAATAACATAAATTGTTTATTAACAATGTGGCTTCCTTGCCCCAAGCAGAATTAGGAAATGGCTTGTCAGTAAAAGATTCTTCTTTAATTGCCCAAGGAAATGAATCTAGTGAACGAGATTCTTTCTGTATTGAGGTACTCTGTAAGATAAGAAATTAGCAGGGAAAAGTTGGTTTTCTTAGTATTGATAATAAAACAAAAATTATTTTCTACAGATTCTTTAGAAAAAATGGAAAGTAAGCATTTATCTGAATAATTAATAGGCTTGATGAACAAGGAATGGTTTTGGTTTCTACTTGTGGAAAGTACAGAAGAGAAACAGGTTTTATTTGGAAGTTGGCATATAATCTAGCTTTGTGTGTTTTGGCTATCGTATTTTAATTATAATTGTGGCTTGGCAAAAATTCCATACCTTTGTTCATTCACTTTGATTCTTCTGGGGTAGAATGCATGCTAAAGAATTTGGCCAGTTATAGCTTTGTCCTAAAAAGGTGTTAGCTGGTGGGAATGGATTTTAGAGGAAATAAAGAGAGTAACAGTGTTGTGGGAAAAGTGCCCATAGTCTTACTCCATGGTTGTTATATGTGGTGAGGAAACTACGGCATTGTGATGTTAAATTACTAAAAGCACACACCTAGTTGGTGACAGAACTGGCGCTAGAACCCAGGTGTCCAGACATTATGTTCTCTACCACAGCATCAAGCTCATTACTTGTTCCTATTCAGTCTATCTGTCTGTCTTTCTCTCAGATTACATAATATGCATCAGATACCTCAGTCTACTAATTTGGGTTGTGAACAGGAATAGGGTTGTGAATGAAGACATGAAAGTTACACATAGGCATAGCATCTAAAAAAGCCTTGTAACATTTTTCTTCCGCCCTTGAAGCACTATGGAAGTTGCTTTTTTGCTGAAAACAAGCTAGAAAAAAGAAAAAGAAACTATGGTTTTCAAGACAGTGGAACACGGATTATGCAGCACTGTGATCCCCGAGAGAAGGGAAACAGACAATGTGAGCTGTGTTATTGCCCCAGTGTACCGCCTTGAAGCAGTTCCCACACTGCAGTGTAGGTGGGGAAAATGGAAACTGAGCCCAGCTGTCTCACTGAATTGAGAAGGCATAAATCAGAATTTGGGGAGGTCAAGGAGGCTAGGATTTATGAGGCTGAGTACCAAAGAAGGAACCATAGAGAGAACGTGCTAGGATGAGCACGAGCACTTCAGAGATCTGGAGCAGGGTCCCCTTGAGTCTTTGTCTGATTACAGAGTTGTATACACATAGGAGAAGACTCTCTGAAACTAGGGGAAGAACTACCTGAAATGCAATGGGTTGCACAATGCCTGGGGCTCACACAGGTCTGGGACTAGTTTGTGTTCCTAAGAGCCAGAGTAGACAGACTTACAATACACAGGATATTGGTTGGGGTTCTCAAAATGGTCATGCCTAAATGGGCTAAATTAGCACCAGAATAAAGGATGCTATGGACCCACCATAACAAAGCTTAAAAGGAAGGCTTTGAAGAATCAAACTAATCCAAAAGTAATTTAGTTGCATTTTACAACAAAATCCAACACTCTATGCTACAACAAAAGTCAGCACCCAGCAATGTAAAATTTACAGTATCTGGCACCAATCAAAAACTACCAGGCATGGCCGGGCACAGTGGCTTACGCCTGTAATCCCAGCACTTTGGGAGGCCAAGGCAGGCGGATCACGAGGTCGGGAGTTCGAGACCAGCCTAACCAACATGGTGAAACCCCATCTCTACTAAAAATACAAAAATTAGCCGGGCGTAGTGGTGTGCACCTGTAATTCCAGCCACTCAGGAGGCTGAGGCAGGAGAATCACTTGAACCTGGGAGGCGGAGGTTGCAGTGAGCTGAGATCATGCCACTGCACTCCAGCCTGG